TGAACGTACTGCACCATATTCACCTCAATCAAACGGTGTTGCCGAACGAAAGAATCGCACATTGAAAGATATGATGAATGCGATGCTAGTAAGTTCGGGCCTGCCACAAAATATGTGGGGCGAAGCAGTCTTGTCAAGCAATTACCTTTTAAATAAGGTTCCCCGGAAAAAATATGATAAAACTCCCTACGAGTTGTGGAAAGGCAGACGACCTTCCTATCAATATTTAAAAGTGTGGGGGTGTCTTGCAAAGCTGCTTGTACCAACACCTAAGAAAATAAAAATAGGTCCAAAAACGGTGGATTGTATTTTTATTGTATATGCACAAAATAGTAGTGCCTATCGGTTTTTAGTGTACGATTCGAATAATCCGGATGTACATAAAAACACAATAATTGAATCAAGGAATGTTTCATTCTTTGAAGACGTATTTCCATGCAAGTCCAACGAAGGACCAAGCACGTCAAAACAAACATTTGACGTAGCTATGGAAAATACTAGCGAGGGCTCCGGAGAAGAACCTGAACCCAGACGTAGCAAACGTGCTAGAATTGAAAAATCCTTGGGACCGGATTTTCTCACCTACCTGCTAGAAGTTGACTCGGATATTCTAACATGTATGGTAGAAAATGAACCGGATTTTCTAACATGTTTGGTAGAAAATGAACCACGGACTTATACGGAAGCCGTGACGTCTACCGAAGGTCCTATGTGGAAAGAAGCCATCAAAAGTGAGGTGGATTCTATCCTTGAAAATCACACATGGGAATTGGTTGATCTTCCTCCGGGAAATAAACCTTTGGGATCCAAGTGGATTTTTAAACGGAAAATGAAACCTGACGGTTCCATCGATAAGTATAAGGCCAGACTTGTAATCAAGGGATACAAGCAACGTGAGGGCCATGATTACTTTGACACGTATTCTCCTGTGATGAGAATAAATTCCATTAGGATGATACTATCAATTGCCGCATTGCGTAAATTGGAAGTTCATCAAATGGACGCAAAAACCACTTTTCTAAATGGCGATATAGACGAAGAAATCTATATGGAACAGCCCGAGGGCTTTCATGTTCCTGGCCAAGAAAGGAAAGTGTGTAAATTAATTAAATCATTGTATGGATTGAAACAAGCCCCTAAACAGTGACACGAAAAGTTCGACCATGCAATGTTAATTAATGGGTTTAAAATAAACGAAAGTGACAAATGCGTCTATGTGAAGAGCACGGTAGACGGCTATGTCATTTTATGTTTATACGTGGATGATATACTCATTGTGGGTAGCAATAATCTAATGCTTAATTCTACCAAAAGCATGTTAAATTCTAAATTTGACATGAAGGATATGGGGCCGACCGATTTAATCCTTGGGATTAAAATAATTAGGGGACCTGACGGTCTTACGCTAAGCCAATCCCATTACGTTGATAAAATCCTTACGAAATTTAATAAGGATGATTATCAAGAGGCAAGGACTCCATTAGATAAAAACGTACAACTTACCAAAAATCGTGGAGAGTGTATTTCTCAAGTAGAATACGCTAGGATTATTGGAAGCTTGATGTATCTAATGAGTTGTACCAGGTCTGATATTGTCTTTGTGGTTAGTAAGCTAAGTAGATATACTAGCAACCCCGGTGATGAACACCGGAAGGCAATAATACGGGTTTTGAGGTATTTACGTAAAACCCAAAACCTTGGACTGCACTATGGAAGATATCCAGCTGTACTTGAGGGGTATAGCGACGCTAGTTGGATATCCGACATAAAGGACTCTAAGTCCACACGTGGATATGTTTTCACTTTGGGAGGTGCAGCCGTGTCATGGAAATCCTCAAAACAAACGTTGATAGCTAGATCCACGATGGAGTCTGAGCTAATAGGCTTGGATAAGTGCACTGAAGAGGCTGAATGGCTACGCCATTTTCTCGAGGATATTCCAAGTTGGAAAAAGCCTGTCCCTCCAATATGCATACATTGCGATTGTCAAGCGGCAATTGGAAGGGTACAGAACAATATGTACAATGGTAAGTCTAGACACGTTCGTCGTAGACATAACACCATTAAACAACTCCTCACAACGGGTGTTATCACTGTTGACTACGTGAAGTCAAAGGATAACATAGCGGATCCGCTAACCAAGGCATTGGATAGAGAATTGTTGGAGAAGTTGTCACAAGGAATGGGACTAAAGCCCGTGAATTGAAAAGTTCTATAGTGGATACCCAACCTAGTTGGTCCTAGATTCAAAAGGGACAACTAAACTATAGAGCGAAGGATGGTCACTGTGGGGGTCTCGGACTCCTACCCACTCCTCGTTTAAAACAGTGACTCCCGCACGAGGTTAGCAAAAACGTTTGCTTTAATGAATCTAAAATGTTGATGTACTCGATAACATTGGAAGAGTATGCGGGATACTCGTGAAAGAATCACTTATGTGAGAGAGAAGAGGGTCGCTTCAAAGGAGAACTGTATAGGCTCAGTTCTTTAGAAACTCTTGCAGAACCAGGACGGTGACCCATGGCCAAAACGGGCACACCCATGAGAACGGAACAAAGTTGGAAGGTTCTTGTGTAAAGATAAGTCAATGTTTACACGACGACAGTATAGTTCAAGGACATCGAGTCTACTAGACAGCCAGTAAATAAACCTGTCTTTACAGCGGAAGGTTCAAAGGATTAAACCTACCTCTCTGTATGCAAGGATCATCCGGTGAACACAACGTGTCCTCCTATCTTCGTGTCTTTTTAAGTCTCGAAAATCATTTTTCATTCATGTGGGGGATTGTTGGAAAAATGTGTTAAAAATTGCATTAAATGGTCATTTTGGGGCAATTACTTGAGTGGGGTCCACTTCCGATTTGGGTCGGGTTAAAGTGGTTTCGGATTGTCCTTGTTAAGGGCTACAATTCGATATATGGTACGCTCAAAACGGATAACGGGTGAATGAGAAATTGATTCTCGAAGTTCACTCGTTGAAATGGAAAAACTGGGAAAATGATGGGTTTCTAGTGTGTTTTATCCCACACCGGAAAACTCAAGGGATTTTCACCCCCTTATAAAGGGAAGCCTCTTTTAAGGAGTTAAGAATCCTAAAGGTAAAGGCTCTCTCTTATGCGCAGGGGGGGGTGCCGATCACCCCCTTCAAAGACTCGTGTGCGCGGACGACCTGCGGACACGAATGCCATCCAAAAATCTATCTCTAAAGAGATACGCTTAATCTTTGAAGGGGTGTTCTGTTGGCTTCGGGCAGAACCCCTCAAAGGGGGTGTTCTGTTGGGGGTCTTCTGTCGCGCAATTCTACCGTTACGAAAGTTAATGCCCAACGTTCTTCTCTTTTAATGATGTGTTAAATGGACAGTTTATGAACGATTCAATGCCCAACGGACTGGTCATTGATGTCCAACGTTCAGGTCCATTAGCACACAACAAATCCTCCTATAAATAGCTGGCAGGTGATTTGCAACAAGACAACGCACAATACATTCGTCACATTTTCTTGAGCTAAAAACACTTCCAGCTACTCCCAAATTTTCCTAGTGTTTTGCTATTGTTCCAGTTCACCGGGACTTTCGTTTGTGTGCTCAAACGATCGTTCGTTAGCCACCGTATCCTGGGAAACGGTCGTTGCAACGCTCCTAGCACTGTGGGAGGCGACGAATACATTTTAAGGATATCGTGCGTAGCACGAGCTCTGGCTAAAACCCGCTCCATCTTATTTTCTGATTTCTTTTAGCTATTTTATTTATTAATTAATTTTATTTAGCTAATATTTCTTCGTTTTTTCCGAAACACACCCAACATTCTGTACAGTTCTATGATATAGAATTCCATAAGATTCTATTAAAATGCATGGAATATCTAAAATTCTTTTAAAATCCATGAGATTTATAATCTTTAGAAATCCTTTAAAATCTATTTGGGGACACCCCCCAAGTTATGTTGCACGGACACATATGCTCGAACACCGCGATACTACAACAAAAATATTGTATACGCCGATTTATATATTGAGTATTGTATATTGAGTATAATTTGTTATATTTTGTCTGAGCATAAATAATTGATTTTCGTTTTAGTAAATGCAACTGATTGCGCATAGACAATTCTTTTTTTCGTGTCACAGACAGTTACTCCCTCCGTCCCAATTTGTAAGATACTTTACGGTTTACGATGTTTGACCGATGATAAAGCAAATTGATCCCTGCCAACACTCAAATTAGTTTTAGAAAATAAAATTTACATATTCAGAAACTACATTAAAACCGCTACAAAACCTGCAAAAATAATTCAAATTTCATAAACTTTTGACATATAAAGTAAGAGATTAAGAGTGATTTATGTTGACCAAGTGAATAGTAAATGTATCTTACAATTTGGGACTGAGGGAGTATTACTTTAGCTATCTCCTTTTAAATACTTAATCATGGACAAAGTCCAATTCATCTAGATAGCTATTAATCACTACACCATTACTTGATAACCCGTACTATTGGTCAATATAGAATACAATCTTATATTGACCTGATAGCAGCAATTTATCTTTTGGAAAAATCAACTAAGATTGATAACTTCAACACATGTACACATGCATTTCCAGTTTAATCAATACAACTAATTCTCCCTACATTTTTTACCATTAGATCATGAATTCGTGATCTAAAGTACATTACTACTCATGAAAGGCTAAGTGAATATTATAAAATTCATTTATCCATTCTAGTAATAATCAATATGAGAACACTAACTAATTGATCACTTAGCAACACTCACATATCGATATGAAATAAAATTAGGAACATAATTACTACTCAAATGAGAATGATTAAAGAAAATAACTCACAACTTACAAATCATAAACTTCAATATTGCAAAACCTCAGATGAGTTTAGCTCCTAATTGGAGTCTAAACACACAAGAATAGAAATGAAAACGTTAATCTAGACCGAGCTTTGTGATATGATATGATTTATTGGATAAAAATGGGAAGAAAAATGAGTGTTATTATATGGGAAATAAGGTGGCTAGTTTCGATACCCAACCTGGTATCTAGGACACCCGATCGAGTATCCTTGACAATAGCTATGAAAGTGCTCAAATGTAATCATACCCAATCGGGTATGTCAACACAACCGACTGAGTATGAGATCAAATTATTCAAATATGGGATCCTCATGTTCTCTTACTTTGTGCATCGTTTGGTTCGTTGGGATCCTTCGGCAATGAAAATCATTCTATCTGGTGAGTGAGACAATTGTTAGTGGGCAAATTTGTCCCAAGGAGACAACAAACAGTTGTTGGACTCGACTTAATCTTCAACAATTTGTATGCTCCTCATTTATCATAATAACAACAACAACAACAATAATAATAATAATCATTATTTGATGAAGTATATTCACATGTAAAGGATCCCCATAAACCGCTAAGTCATATCCCAGTTAGGCAAAGGCTGAGCCAGTCAAGCCCGGTTCCGAAGTCGGTGTCCAGATCATCGAGATAAGTCCAAAAATGCATCTGAGGCTGAGGTCCACCCTCGTCGAGGTTGGCATCACACTCAGCTACATCTGAGCCTGGGACAACTAGCACCTTATGAAGTCATGCACAGAAACAACAAAGAGCAACAATGCTTTATACTATCAGTCGAGGATACCCTCCTCTTGAATAAATGCAATGCACCGTGACTAACCTCCCCACCGTAGAATTTTCCTTGTTTATAATCCAATAAACAATATTGCGGGTATGCCATTCTATCTAGATGGAATTCTAAAGCAAGAAAAAGTATATCAAACACGACTGGACGGAGATGACAATCACACTATGCATTATATATACATCACCCTTGAGAACGCACTTCCTCCATTCTTTTTTAATTGAAACGGTCCATTTTTCACACTTGACAACGCACAAGTTTGACCGTTAATATCGTTCATTCCTTATTAGTAAAAAAATTAAAAATTCGGATTTTGAAAATTTAAAATGAGAAGAATTTAAATATATTTTTTAAAAAATGTAATTCGTAATACATTAATAAATAAACTATAGTCAAAGTAGAATGTATACATAGTACAAAAAGTCCTACGTTGCAATTAAAAGAGAACGAAAATTCGTAACGAAAATGTATACATTAATAAATAAACTATAGTCAAAGTAGAATGTATACATTAAAATTCGTAATACATTAATAAATAAACTATAAGATAAGTATTGAAGCATATACGTAGTATATGCATATCAGCATATATATCAAACATATAATAATGCGGAGTCGCAGATAATAAGGTCTGGTGTTACATCGCTTTATGCATGTAAGCTAGTGAAAAGCATATAAGTTGGAGGGCGGCGGCGGGCGGCGGCGAGCCGGCGAGGTGACTTTATGTACAATGTGGGACCGGTGAGACATCTCCTATCAATCTAAGTTTTTTAACATTTGAACATGAAGCGTTGACTTTTTTTCCTCGTACGCCTTTTAGACTCACATTATAAACTAGAAGTAATTACTATCATACTTAAAAATATCATCAATTATAGCAATAATTTATTCACATTTAAGGAAATCAACATATTATTTGTATTTCTAAATTTCACAGTCTCTTACTCATATTTCAGGAATTTGTATTCAGAATACAATGCATGCACATAACTATAATGACTGTTTTTTATAATGACAAAAGAGCTTAAGATGTCTAGACTTCTTATTAAAATTTGAGATTCCGTAATAAAATATCAACAAGTAGTAAAAAAAGCTACACTATTTCCTAATTTTTCAATTGCAACATATTATGTATAGGGAAATATTTTTTTATTTGTGACATTTCGTTTTCATGAAATTTACCTTATTTTTCATCTGATCTCTCTTAGTGGTACTCTGTATTTTTTATCATATGAAATTATACGAGATTGTCATATGACAAATTTACAAATGACAAGTGGTAAATAAAAAAGATAGTACCTTATACAATATATTTTGATTTTTCAGTACACATATTCTATTTAGACTATATTTTATTTAATAATGAATTAAACACCTTACCATAAAATATTGTCAATTTCAATGGTAACTTTTAAAAAGTTAATTCAATTTTAGTATTTAAATAGCTAATTGAATATAGTTATTAGTCAATCTAGCTTCTGTGTTGGTAAATCCAGGTCTTGTCAATATAACATGGATAAAATCAAAGAAAATATTTCGCGAACACTTAAAATAAAGTATGTCATATTTATAAGGGCCTAAAATAGATACCTGCCACGTCTTTATTCTCACTCCGTTTGTTGTTCCTATGAATTTGACTCTTTTGACTACAACGTCCGACACATGTTCAACCACTGTGTTACCTAGTCGTCCCAAGCTCCCAATACTATATACTCACAAGCAACATAAATAAGAAACATAAATGAAAAACTGATTGACTTTCATAATATAGGAGCTTGTTCGTTAACACATACTTTCTGCTTATAAGTTACTGAGTATATATTAGTGAATCAGTGAATTTTTGTTATCAAACTTGTGCATGTGATTTTAAGCGTTGAATTATATCATAATCAAAATAGTAAGATAGAAATTACTTTTCTAGCTTTATTCATGAAAATTTTGAATATCGATGACTATTTGAGCAACATTGTGATATAATTTACTGTTTGCTACATTAGAAAAATACGGAGTATATTTTAAATTAAACATAATGTTTTCATAATTCGTTATATTTAGCCAATTCAACCATTTTTGTCAAAATTTCACAAATTTTAATTAATTCAACCAATTGAAGTGTCATCCACTCTAAATTTACTTAAGTGAAAGATGACACCACTTCTATCCATTATAACTTTAAAAACTTAGATGCCACCACTTCTATAGTTCTATCCGTTATAACTTTAAATAAAAACTTTTCCTTTTTTGTTATCTCAACAAATTTATCATTTTTCCCTTTAATTTATCCATTTGCAGATAATTCTTTTCAATTACAACCTTTATTTTATTCACATATAAAAGAGAGGTCGAAAAATCTTGAATTGAGTACCTAATTCCATGCCCGGGCCCACATTGTGTGTCAAGAACTCTAACCCTTGTTGTTTTGTTTACTATTGAAATACAATCGTCACCTGAAAGAGTTTGGCAAAATTCATAATGCAGTTGAGTCACTCAATTCAATTGGCTGAAATAAACTTAAGGGAAAACTGTCAAATAGGTCCTCGAACTTTAATAAAAAGGTCAATTAAGTCCTTCTATAGAAGGTTCTGTCCAGCCATCGCGATTTGGGGCGGTTCCTGGTGGAATTGTTTGATGAAATTTTTTGAGCATCTTATTCATCAGGTCTAGTTTACTCATACCAAATGTCAGCTAAAAAATCAATCGGAAACACATTAAATTAATTCGTGAAGATAACTGCGCATTTTTGCGTTCTCGAATTAATTTGAATACGTTCCCAATTGAATTTTTAGCTGAAATTTGGAATGAGTAATCTAGACTTGATGAATAAGATGCTCAAAAAAATTCATCAAAAAATTCCACCGGGGACCGCCCCAAATCGCGACGGCCGGACAGAGTCTCTTATAGAAGGACTTAATTGACTTTTTATGAAAGTTTGAGGACCTATTTGACAGTTTTCCCTAAACTTAAACATTACCATTGAATCCGATAATTATGAACTTAAGCGTTGTTCATTATTGTTTTATTTTGTTTCTTTAAATGAAAAACAAAGAGAGAATTCCTAAATAGGAGTAAAAAAGTTTTGAAATTCCGAAATAGGAGTATCATGTTTTTTATTCTTTGAATAAGATTAAATTTCTGCCAAGTTTGACATTACTAGGCTTTAAAACATGACATTTTTTTCCAAACTTGGCAGATTACTCCTATTCAGGGAATAAAAAACATGATACTCCTATTTTGGAATTTTAAAACGTTTTTGCTCCTATTTAGAGCAATTTCTAAAAATGAAATTCTGAAAACAAGCAATTTGTTTACACTTCACAAATCTTCAAAATTAACATGACTACTTCAAGTATGATTATTTTAGAGAAATTGGGGTACCTAACAATAAAAAACATAACATTTATTAATATCTAAACATGAACTCCGTTCCATTTTTAGCCAGTTATTAATCCCCAATTTTCATATTCACCCATTTCTGCCCATAATCTGGTGGATGTATAGCTCTGTGTTGTAGACTGTTTTATACTCCATTTGTCCCTAATTATCTTTCAACTTTTGTTTTCGTCCATCCCAAAGTAATACTCCCTCCGTTTCTGAAACAAGTTCCACCTTTCCTTTTCGGGCAGATTCAAAATTAAGTTTCACTTTCAAACATTTCCTTATTTGCCAAATTATCTACATCAAAACAGTGTGAAACAGTGTTCAAACAGTGCCAAACAGTGCTCAAACAGTGCCAAACAGTGCACTCCACAGTAAAGTCAAATTTATTTTCTTAATATGTGTGAAGTCAAATGTGGAACTTGTTTCAGAAACGGAGGGAGTATTTCATTTCTCTTTTTTATCAAAAATTGTGGTGAATAGAAATTTAGTACATTATTACATATCTCTCTGTTTTGTATCAGTCAATATCATACAATATTCATTATTTTAATTATCTTAATCCTCGTGTGAAATGTACTTGGAAGATAATTTATGGACGAACAGAGTACTCAATAAAGTAAACATCAATATGTTAATTATCTATGGTTAAAGGCTATTTATATCTATCCACCGACAATTTACTGTACTCTTATTTAGACTTCATAATTCATGTTTGAAGACTCGTATTTTGTTACTTTAAATATGCTTTGCTCCTGTCAAAATAAATTCTAATACGTACTCCATCTTTTAGTTTAATTATTGTAAGAAAAAAAATTCACTAATATTAATTACTAATAGGAAAGTAGTGAACAAAAACGTAACACGATACGGAGTAATTTTTAGTGACTATAATTGATTAATTGTGTTCAAAGTTACTACCATGTAATGATTATGATGTAAATTTTGAACACAACTATAATCGTTAAAAATTACTAAATCAAAATTTTGCTCATAAATTTTCTATCGGTAATATTTTAGAAATACCCTAAGTAATAAATAAAACTTTTGTGACATGTGTGTTACTTTAAAGAGTTTGATTCATTTTCCTCCATCTTAATTAACATCATAAATGACCAGATTTACATTATAACTATTCTACCAAGATATAAATACTTAGATAAATTAAACATAAATCTGATTTTTTACTCACCTTTCTCATATATATTACTCCTCTAATTAAACATAAATTCTTGTCGATCACTTTCTATATATTCTTTTTATCATATTGTTTCGAATAATTCAAACTTTTTAATATAGCAAATAAAAAAAAAGTGAAAACTGACAACAATGTATAACTCAACTCAATATTTCACCGACACAATATTTTTTCCCATTAATGTTCATGAAACCTAACAATACTCGTTTAAAGTGAATTTGGAGCGAGGTTGTGGACATGTAAAATTTTTGGGCCGATTTTGTAAAAAAGTGATTTTAACTGCTCGTGAATGCTAATATTAATATGGATCCATTGATATAAAATTTTGCGATGAAATTAATTTGGGTCATTTAAAATGCTCAATTAATTTAATTATAAATTAAATATTTAACAGAATGGACCGGTTTTGATTAATTTCTCTGTTTTGAACCCAATATTAAATAATGGCCCAATGAAAAAGAGATATGATCCAAGTTGAGAAGTGGACAACGAATCTGGTTAAGAAATATGTCCGTGTGCATGTGAAATGGTTGTGAATCTTGTTAAAAAGGCTGTTCAGATACAACAAACAAGTGCTGATTTTTCTAGCTATTAAAATGCAAGCAAATAGAGGCCAAAGCCCATTTTATTTGAGGCCCAAGGCCATATTTTATCCCATCAACACCTATAAATAGAGGTCACAGTTGAGAGAAAGGGGGAGAGAGAAGTTCTAATCGAAGAAATGTTGCAGAAAAGCTCCGAAGAACTTCCGAGAGGCTCTGAACGATTTCGACGACGAGAAAGAGATCAAGCCACAAATTTTATCAAGAATATACGAATAATCCTTCGTGATTTCGTTCATTCTTGATTAAATAAGTCCAAAAGTTGAAGAACGTTCGAAGATCTGAAGAACAAAGTTTGAAGATTCGAAGATTCGAAGAACAAGACTTTGAAGATCCGAAGATATGAAGAACGAATCTTTGAAGATTTGAAGATATTCATATAAAGATTGAATCAAGATTCAATTGAAGATCAAGTTAAATACCCTTGGAGGCCCTTAAACAGAAGATCAAGCCATAAAACGGCCCTTTTGTTGAAGACCAAGCCGCTTGAAACCCGGAGACCTTTCAAGCTGAATTCTTAATTCAAGAATATTCAAATATTCAAAGAACAAAGGTTCGAAGATTTGAAGATCTGAAGAACGTTCGAATATTTGAAGAATTAAAGATTTAATTTTGAATTACACTCTTTAATTATATTTATGTCAAATTGCAAGTGAAGAATCAGAGGATTCATATTTAGAGATTGTATCCAATATTCTTATATATTATTATTATTTGCGATCAATTTTAAGTAAAAACTATTGGATTCAAACACATTTTTTGAAGAAAAAAAGCAAGAAAGAGTTGCCAACATCATTTAATTAATTACCTGTGGCAATGTTAGAATTGGTGATAGTAACATTGTAGCTCCTAGATACATGTATTCCATCGGTGTTGGGGCTCTTTTGAGGAGCTTGTATGTTGATGTGTGAAGCTTCAACATTTCGAGTTACATTAAAAGTCAGATGCATCTTTTGGGCATTTTTAAACAATAAGTTTTCCACCTTCAAATTAGTGCAATTCTCAAACATGACTGACTGTTCAACCATCAAAAAAAGAAGAAACACATGAACACTGTTAGCATAACGTCGGGGCTACAATAGGAAATCGAAATTTATATCTAGTCAAGTTTAATCTTATCTACTCCCTCGTCCCCCTAACTTTGTCCTGATTTACTATTTTCGTTCGTCTCATTAATTTTGTCTCATACTATAGTTGGTAATATTTGAGTGATTATAATTCATTCTTACTTTATTAATACTTTATCAATTCAATATTAACCACATAATTCTACTTTTTCTTAAAAACCACATCACACATCTTTGTCCCAAACTTAGAGGGACGGAGGTAGTAATTCGATATAATTTGAGATTGAAATCAAAGAAAAACACCACTCCCATACAAAAACTAAGATAAAAAATGTTTACAAAATTGTGACTAGTGACTAGAGTAGTAATGAAATCCTGATAATTTATGTTCAATTTTCAAACTTAACTTATCATGACAATACATTGTAGTAACTATTAGGATGTCTTCTTTTGGACTGTTTTCAGTCCCAGACCAGACTTAAACAGATCAAACCATATTAAACTTAAACAGATCAGACTAGACTTGAACAACTATAAAATACACAGAGACCAGACATTTATCAGACAAGATAAGACCAGACCAGATCAAACCAAACAAATTTCAGTTCAAAAGAAAACATCCTTAGTCACATTTATATTAATAAATTTTATTTAAACAACCCATTGATAATTGTAAATGACTTATAGATTAAGGTAAGCAGCGAAACTTACAAATGGTACTAAACCTTTGTCACAGGTCTGCAGAAACGAAAGAAGAACTATTAGTATGAGTGTTAACCCAATCCAACCAAAAACACATGATATCAATTTTTACTTATATATGTTGAAATATCCTTTCAAGCTTGTTCTAATATGATTTGATCAAGACATCATATTTGATCTAATCAATTTTTATACACCCTACACTCAACTACTTCCTCCATTCTATAATATTTTGCACATTAGATGTTTCACAGATAATAATAATAAATAGAAAAAATATAATCGGTGTATAAAATATGGAAGTGAAAGAGAAAAAGTTGAAAAATACTCATGGGACAAAAAGTGGAATTTATTCAAAACTTTTCAAAAGAGAATGTGCAAAGTGCAAACTACTGAAGAACGGAGAGTGTATATTAAATAGGGAGTAGTTACTTATTCAATTCATATCTACATATTATTAAAAAATGTTCAAATATTTGTATCAGTTTGATACATTGTATTAAATAATAAATCAATATATAAATTTCCGATTTACTCTTTCTATTGATAAATATTTTTAGCATCGAGTCCATCTCCTAACCAAATCTCCATCTCTTAACAAAGCCTAAATACGAATTAGACTACAAGAGAACATTTTTCTGGCCAAAACGCTAGTAATACCTAGGGCTGTTAACGAGTACAACCCGAACGCCCAAAGCTCGAGTTCGGCTCGATAAGGAATGAGTAGTGTTCGGGTTCGAGCTCGAAGCTCGGCGAACTTTACAAATGAAGCTCATGTTCGGCTTGATAGGCGTTCGATGTTCGAACAGAGCGTTCAATAAATATGCTTGAATTTAAAATTTTAGGTGATGTTCGTTAATAGAATGTGCTTGAATGATTCGATAAGTATTCGGCTCGTTAATAATCATATTTAAATTTATAAAATCATATTAATTATATTTAAATTTTCACATATATATAAATTATATATATAATTTCAGGGTGTTCGATAGGCTCGAGTTCAAATCAAGCCGAATACTACTATGTTCGAGTTCGGCTTATTAATTTTTCGAACTTAAAACTCAGCTCGGGTTCGAGTTTGAAAGCTCGTTAAGCTCGACTCGTTAGATTCGAAACCGAGCTCGAACTCGAATAGTTCGATAAAAGCTCGGTTCGTTAACAGCCCAGTAATACCAACGTTTACTTGGTTAAAAAATGTCGTTTTACCTGACACATCAGTGTCCAAACACAACCTATAAGTTTGATATATGTGTTGTTTTAATTTAAGTAAATTGAACACACCGGTGTCTCCTTGAAATTGCAAGAATCCTTCCACCAGTTTTCCCCACTGCCATCTATGGTACCTTTATTGCCATCCCCATCAACATTGAAGTAGTCCAGGTACCTTAAAAGCATCCAGTTTAGCCTCCCCGTAGCATCATAATCTCTTTTATTCGGAGAAGCTTTAATTGTTCCAGATATCTATCAAATAATGTCATAAATATTATTAAAATAAAGTTGATGAAAATAAGGTACTTCTAGTATAGTGATCTGTGACCATGACGTTCCTCAATCTTTTGTTTACTATAGTGATCATGACATTATTTGATCAGGACGTTACACACATTGTAACTTTAGTTATATTTCATCCATGAGTATAATTGGAATAGTATTCTAAGAAATCCCAATATTTAATCTAGGCCATAATCCAGAAAATAAAGATCAGATAAAATTATAAGGAGTAATCATTTAATAATCTGAAATAAATTGGGTGATACATATAAATGGGGTCACCTTCATCTTAAGATTTGGCTTGCAGGGTCCATCTAAAGACACTGGCTTCAGTAAATATGTCTTTGTAGGAGGAATCAACAACTCTCCTTTTTCTGTTTCACAAAACTTCTCCCAAGCACGGCTGAATGCCTGATAGACCTCGTAGTTGTGAGATCAAATAAAAATATAAACTAACATATAAAGTCGTCGAACATATACATACTTTGGAATCATCGGTACGCCCGTCGCCTCGAGCTCCGAAATGATCTACATTGATGACAATTCGTTTTTCATCCGAAGGGAAGCAATCAAAGCAAGAGAGGGCGAAGAATATTGTTATGGTTATTACTAATGGGCTTCTCATGAACATTTTCTAAACTATAGCTTTGTTCCACCAAATTCTCACCTGACTGAAGATGCTTTTAATTTCTTTTGTTTGAATATGATAGTACTCTAATTTGTTTTGTTTGAATACTCCTTCCTTCCCACGCGGTTTAGGACGTTTGACTGACCATAAAGTTAACTGATCCCTGTCATTAGTAGAATTAGTTTTAGCAAATAAAATTTACATGTTCAGAAACTACATTAAAATCGCTAGAAAGTCTAATCAAGAAAATTTAAATTTGATAAAAGTTGAATACAACAAACAACAACAACAACAACAACATCCAAACCTAAGTCCCAAAAGATATTGGAGTCGGCTAACATGAATCGATACATGATAAAGTATGCACGTTGATATGAACAATGCACGTTGACCGGAGAATAGTGGACGAGAACTTGTAATCAGATTGTGAGAATTTCAAAATCAGTATGAAATGATACCCCATTGGTCCATTGTCAAAAAAGCATTACCATGCTCATCATTCATTTATGCTACATAGTTGTTTTCTTTTTGACAAATCAAAGATGCTCATAATTTATGAGCATTACTATGCTCATAATTTTTGACAAATTATCAGTCGTCGCTGCACTTCTTAACTTTATGTTAATTATTATTATTAATTAAAAAACTAATTAATTAGGCCTCTATTTTATACGATAGTATTAATTAATTGATGTATTGGATAATAAAGTATCCTAGTTCAGTAATCAGTAAGATATACTCCCTCCGTCCCCTTATTATTGTCTCATTTCCTATTCACTTGGTCAACACAAATCATTCTTAATCTTTTACATTATTTATCAAATTTTTATCAAATTTGATTCTTGTTTTTGCGACTTTGTAAAACTTTTAATGTAGTTTCTGAATATGCAATTTTTTTCTAAAAATAATTCTAGTGCGGACAGAGATCTGTTTGCTTTATCGTCAGTCAAGCATCGTAAACCGCAATGGGACAATAACAGGGAATAATTACCGTTGTGAGTGAATCAAATAAATTCAGTTCCATTCTTATGAGTGGTTTTTATTCAAACGGTCGTTTAAAAAGAATGTGGACCCTCAAATATTTTGGGATGAGGTTCACGTGTGCAGCATGCCCTCCTCCCTCCTTTTTTTTTTGCTTTTGTTGTTAAAAATGATAATAACTTTTTTATTTTTGATCCAATTTTTATAAAATTTATATCAACATTTTTTATTTTTCATGATCTTTCAAATGAGACCAATATTGCTAATGTAATTTTAAGAAATTATCGAACTATTATATTAATGAGTATTGGATTATAAGGAAAATCGAATCTGTTTGGGAGATGATAGGTTTGTGAAATAGAAGATCGAATCTGTTTGGGAGTGGATTAGTGGTCTCAGTTACATTTGATAATACAATGAGTTACATCTTTTTATGAGCGAGTTACATCTTTTTATAAGTAAGTTACATCTTTTTATAAGTAAGTTACATCTTTTTAAAAGCGAGTTACATATATATAAACACGAGTTGCATTTGACATGTCTGAACGCGACTTACATATATTTACACGTAAAGTTACATATTTTTACACGTAAAATTACATATTTATACACGCGAGTTACATATTTATACACACGAGTTGCATTTGACCTGTCTGAACGCGAGTTACATATTTTTTTACGTAAAGTTACATATTGTTACACGTAGAGATACATATTTATACACACGAGTTGCATTTGGCCTGACTGAACGTGAGTTACATATTTTAACACGTAAAGTTACATATTTTACACGCAAATATTAATATGTTAAAATTACACAGGCAATATTGGTCTCATTTGAAAGATCATGAAAAATAAAAAATGTTGATATAAATTTTATAAAAATCGGATCAAAAATAAAAAAGTTATTACCATTTTTTAAAAACAAAAAGAAAAAAAAATATAAATCCGTACCCGGTATACGGTGCTCACCTTATACCGGTCGTACGGTATAAGCACTCGTTGTTGGCAATGTTGGTATTTAGACATTGAAAAGAAAAAGGTATTTAGAGCATATCCCACACCGACCATCCACCGGAAAGGACCTATATTTTATTGGTGATTGTAGGAGGAACGAGTCTAGCCGATTGCCTAGGGACACACTTTCTAAAGGGCCGGCTTTTTTTATGTCAAGTGTTTATGTTAAAAAAATAATAGCAAATCAAAACTTTATTAATCTAACAAATCATTTAAGTTTACGATCGAATCAGGAGCCTCACGATTCGCATGAGCAACATTGAATGTTTACAAAATAAAATCTTAAATTGATTATGATTATCAAGAATAGATCTAATATCATTTATAATAAGCTGTAAATAAGAGGACCCTCCTTGCTCGGAAACATTTTGGAACACAACCAGAGTATCAATTTCAATCTCAATTTTCTGTCAACCCGACCTCATATGTCCATGAACAAATGCCCCTTTTCATCTCTAGCTACTCATCCCCACGATCTTAAACTCCTATGCTCATCAACTGCCTCATCAACATTAATTTTATTTCAACCCTCGTTCGGGCTCTTTCAACCGACATCTCCTACCATTCGACCTGCACTTCTGTCAGACCCCGAACCCACCCCTTGCACTTCCCTCCACCCCGATAACATAGTCACTGCCCTTTGGATGACACCATCCCCATCACGAGGTTCCTCCTTCCACACCACCCCATTTCGCCTTTTTGAAATGCTACACATGTGCATTATGAAGTGACATTGCTTCTCCACGTTCACACTCTCAAAAATACCATGTACCCATTCAGCAAAAGACGAAGCCCCACCTATGAAGCTTCCATCACCCTGCTGCCACACAGTTTGACCGCACGGACAACACCTCAATGCATGCTCCGTATTCTCTTCCTCAGTGTCACATAATTTGCAAATAGGAGAAATCTGGACTCCCCTACAACAAATTAGGGGTGAGATTGGGATGATCCCGATCCAGATTGCCAAAATCCCGATCCCGTCATTAAAATCCCGATTAAGTCGGGTTTTCGATTGGGTATCCCGCTTAATCCCGACAATGAAGTATCAAACGTAAAATTATGTAGTTTCTTTAGTTTTTTTAGAAGAAATAGGCTTAAATGGATAACACATCATTCATATAGTAGGTAAAAAGAAGACACATACAAACACGGGTTGGGCTGGGCTTTATCTAAAACTTCTGCCCATCTATGTGGGCGGACCCAGCCCGACCCAGATCAAACGGGCCACCTCCCATGTCCACGCCTTCCCATAGTAGCAGGCTGCATAGTCCACCGGGCCGCCTGACTCAGAAAAGTTTACCAATGTTTAAATTTGATGAAAAAGTTGATAGCATTTTTAAAATAACATCACACCATTTTAAAAGTAATTAATGAACAAACTTATATAAATATGCCTTCATGATATACACAAACTATTTTGAACAATTGATCCACTCTAGTAATCTAGTACTCCCTCCATTCCGCAATTAAGTTACCACTTTCCTTTTTGGGTAGTCCCTAAATTAAGTTCACATTTTCTTACTTTCCTTATTTGGCAAATTATCTACATCAAAACAGTGTCAAACTGTGCAAAACAGTGTCCAAACAGTGTCCAAATAGTGCAAAACAGTGCACTCCACAGTAAAGTCAAATTTATTTTCTTAATATGTGTGAAGTCAAACCAGTAACTTAATTGGGGGACGGAGGGAGTATGTTTTTTGTTTGGTCGCTCAACTGCTATTATGCCGATCAAATGATAGTAAGGTTAATTAGATCTTCTTTAGGGTCATTAATATGATGGGTAATAGCGTGTAGGATTCACTACTGGGAAATAAGGAGTATGTAATACGAAGTACTTCGTATACTATAGATATGAATATATATAATACCTATTATATAAATTAATACTAGTAATATGTACTGCGTATATTATTAATTTTCCGAGTCGGGCTTTTTGGCTCGAACGAGCCTACAATATAACCCAAGCCCGTCCATATTTTTTACGGGCCGGGCTTGGGCCGGCCTGGTGGGCAATTATACATGTCCAGACCCGTCCATTTATATGGGCGGGCTGGGCTGGGCGGTCCGACCCGTGTTTGTACAGGTCTAGTAAAAAGACAAAAAGACTTCAGGCAACCGCCAACCCTCGAACCAGACTCAGAGTTTATCACCTCGAAAGAAACAATATAATTCGTTGATTCATACTCCCTCCGATTCCTAAACAAGTTCCACATTTGACTTCACACATATTAAGAAAATAAAATTGACTTTACTGTGGAGTGCACTGTTCGGCACTGTTTGAACACTGTTTAGCACTGTTTGACACTTTTTTGATGTAGATAATAAGGAAATGTTTGAAAGTGGAACTTAATTTTGAATCTGCCCGAAAAGGAAAGATGGAACTTGTTTCAGAAACGGAGGGAGTATATTACTAGGCGCAAATGAGCCAAAGACGGTTAACACAGTCCTTTCATCACCCACATCCAAATCCACAATCTTACAGCAGAAGAAAATAAAAAATCGAAAATAGACAGTAATCATCCTCGAAGCCCGCCTCCTCCTCTAACGACATGCTCTAACGACATAATATATTGTAGAATTGTATTTTCTAGTTAATTTTGGGAAAATTACTAATTAGTTGTTAAAATTGGACATTAGGTTTATAAATTCGTGAAAAAATCCAGAAAGTCATATTTTATTTCCAGAAAGTTTAGTTTGGCAGAATCTTATTTTTGTTTAATTTTTGCTATCATACATGTTTAATTCCTTGTTAATTTCAAATTTATTCATTATATTGTTAAATGCAAAAATGACATTTAGTAGCTAAATTTGTTTTGGGCATGAATTGACTAAAGGAATACGGATTGACTTGTTAATCGAAAATTAGGGGTTAAATTAATGATTTGGACTAGTTGTTTAAATTGATGAAATAGTAATTAATAATTGTTAGCCATTTTCATTAATTTTATCTTTGGAAAAGTATTTCTAACTTGTCTATGAGATTAGAAAATAATTTGAGCCAGTCATATTTAAGCACATTAATAAGACCTAGAAATAGGATATTTTAATGAAGTGAATTTACATCTTATCTATGAGAAATAAATTCAAATTGCTTAAATAATGAGTTTAATTAGTTAATGAA